GTGTGGATAAGTCATAAAATATAATAAAAGAATTTACAAGATTAGAAGGGAGATGACCCAAGCCCTAACAAACTCTACGGGAGGGAAAAGCCAAACAGCAAGCAAGAAAAGCAGACTATAACTGAAAACAACTACCTAAGGTAAATATGCAAGAAGACTGGTTCAAGGAGAAATACAAACTTGATCTTTAGACTTAACTATATAAGAAAAGCAATTTAAAATCTCACAACTAGGTCAATAAGTTTCGGTTTAAAGTTTCACAAGCTGGTTCAAGTCTATCCTATGTAAAGCGCAAGTCCTACCCTACGTGGAGTTCAAGGTGGTATTTGGTAGAATTTTATAAATATGATCTGCAAATAGGATTGTATTTTGAATTTATAAGTTTTCGAATTATGATTTAAGCGTAGAAAATTTATTTGGTTATGATTTTTAAATATAGTGTTGAATTCAGTTTTGAGAAGTGTTGAATTGAGTTTTGAAAGTTTGATGTGATATGTAAAATAAAAAAATTTGTTTGATTATGATTCAAAAAGTTATAACTCATAATCAAACACACAATTCAAAACTCTATTAAAAGTTTTGATCAACCGTCATATCAAATTCTTTTTAAAATTTAATTCAAAAAATTAATTATTAACAAAAAAAAAACACTATTAACTAAACACTTTTTAAAATTCAATTAAAAAATTAATGATTAACAAAAAAAATAGCAATCATACCCAATTTTTTTTCAAATTCAACTCAAAAATTTGATTATTAACAAAAATTTAAAAATAAGAATTTTTTGTATTGAAAATATTATAAATAAAATAATTTGAAGGTCACAATAAATATTCAATTACTGATCATACCAAACTTATGATTGTATATTTGATTTGAATTATGTTTTTTTCAATATTTTTCAGTTCAAATATTTTTATATTCTTAATAATTACTGTCACTAATCATTTACTAGTTATTATATATATTGTTATTTTCAAATAAATGTTCACAAAATTTATCAATACTATATATATTGCGAGTCAAACAAAAATTAAAATATTATTTGATTAATATTTACACAGTTTACTACACATAATTCAATATTATTGGATTTTTTTCATTTGTTAAATTTCATTACTTTCGTGGGAAATCCGTGAACCTCTGTGCCATCCACATCTTCATTATTGTGCCTCATCCGTGAACTTCTGTACCGTCTATATTATTGTGCCTATTAATTGATGTGTTTGACATTAAACTAACTAAATTACCTGTGTTATGAAATGCTAAGTTGGAGAGCACAACCAAAGACAGCCCAAATCTTTTCCGTACACTTGAAAGATTCTCATATATATTGCAATTATTTTAATACCGTGTTATTTCCCCTATTACAAAAGGTCTGACACCAAATTCTAATTGACATTAGCCAATGGAGAGAAACATCCTATAACGCTAGTGTAAATTGATGCTTGACATGATTGTAATTTTGGTTTATAAAGATCCTTAATTGAAGGGAAACCCAGTCATGAAAGAAGATTAAGGATCTCTCTCTATGTATATGTACCTTCATCAAGAGTAATACATCCAAACAATGATTTATGGCACCATATGCCTTGTAGTGAAAAAATCGACACATGATAATCTCTCTTGGTGATTGAAGAAGGAAAGGAAAGGAAAGGAAAGGAAAGGAAATGGCGATCGTAGATAATAAAACAATGTCTGGCAAGAAAAGTAATGAGGGATGTAGAACTGTATTAACAATGAATGTTAGAGCCATAGCCATCTATGTGTTGGGATTTTTCTTCACCGTCTTTTTATGCAATGGTTTACACACCCTTTTAAGGCCTTTGTCTCAACCTCGCATCATCTCAGAATTCATCGTAAGTCCTCTCTCTCTCTCTCTCTCTCTCTCATGCATCCACACATGGTTATTATAATTCTGGATTTTAGTTTTGTTATGCAGTTTCAAAACAAAGAGATCAGGCAAAAAGAAGAATAATTATTACAGTATCTATAATGCTGTATTTGATTAGGAATTTGAGGAGGGACTTAAAAAAGGGAATAGAAAATGTGGGTGAAATATTTACATTTTACATTACGCACCTTTTCCTTTTCTAATACCTCTTTAAATACCTCAACCAAACACAACGTAAGTATATAGATCTCTATTATATATATGTTGAATTTAAATAATGATTGTGTAGTAAAGAAAAAAATTGATTGACAATTGAGATCTATCAAAACATTGCAAATAATTTTATAAGCGTGATCGAACTGAATAAGAAATTCTAACTTAAAGAAGATCGATTTTAGCCATATTCACAATTCACCAAGTGTAATTAGGGGAACTCTTGTTGAACTCTTGTTGAGTGACAGATTATTATTCATGCTTGGCAAGAGAAATTTAACATCACCTAAAATGTGTTAAAACTTTGTTTACCATTGGATTCAATTTTAAACGAGTTTTAATCGAACTAATTAGGAGCTTAATTTGACTAGTTTGGATTTTTGTAGTGTATATAGGTTTTTCGAGTTTGGTTCAAATTGATCTTTTTGAGGTTTAAAATATATTTAAATTTAGTTTGTTTACATAATAAATCAATCTTCAACAAATTTTTTTAACAAATTAAATACGAGTCTAACTCAAATAATTTGCTTTGTTTTTCCGACATGTTGCCAAAAGTTATCACGTGTCAGTGTGAGAGCCAATTTTTGACTTGCCTTTGTATTTTGACTACATTCTTCGGCAAAGGCCATGTTCGTTGGCAATTATTTATTTATTTATTACTTTTTTTGGCATTAATGATACCATTTCATTGTGGAAAGTAGAAAAATGTTTGAGGGTCACAATTTTTGTGGCTCAAATGGTTTAAAATTGTCAAAACGACGTCGTTTTGACAATTTCGAAGTTGTTTTGTACTCACGTCGTATTGACAATTTCGAGCCATTTGAGCAATAAAAATTGTGGCCCTCAACCATTGCTGTGGAAAGTAAACTTTGGGTTGTATTATATATATATATTTTTGATATCATGAAAATTATAATTTCTTATAGTGGCGGGAATATCTACTTCCAAAGATGTTAACTCATTTTATTTTATTTTTATTTTTATTTTTTATAATGTGTATTTATGATTTTTGTCACATCCCATATTTTAGAAATATTAATTAGACATAATCTAATAAACTTAAGCGTGATTAATTAATAAAAAAAACCCTTATTATCTCTTTGTTCATTTTCAAAAACAACTTTCCATTGCTAATTACCTTGAGTTACAACAAATCCTATTTATCCTGTGTGTGTGCCAATGCCCGATTTTTGAATAGTAGTTTGCAAAAATGTTAATTTATTAATTAAAAGACTTGTTTTTTATTTGGAAAAATTACAAATAAGTGGGACAATCTTAAACTCATGCACTATAGGTGGAATCTCTTTTGATGTAAGTCTGACACACATGAAAGATTTGCGCCAAACACAGAAAAAATTTGCACCACACACACATGAGACTTGCATCATCTGCACTGTTCAATAATATAACTTACCAAGCCTTCAATTACAATCAACAAAGTTCAATAACACAATAATGCTAAAACACTTATACAACACAATAATACTAAAATACTTATACAACACGAGTTTCCAAAGTGGATTGCAACAAGAGATATTAAAAAAAAATGCAAAAGCGACTCCTTGAAATTCCCAACCCAAAAAAGGAAAAAAATCCTTTGGTTATGTTTGGTAGATTTACCTAGTAGGAGCATTTTGTTTTTTCATAACTCCTTGAACCTTAACTTATTGCCATTAATCATTAGCTTGTTCCCATTAGTCTCATACGTAATTATGAAATTTGTGATTGATAATATGGTTCTTTTTATGTGAATATTTTAACTAATTTCAATAATAGCTTGGCTTTCAATGATTGTGATATAAATGTTCATATTATAAATGTGATTATATATGATATGTGAATATTGACGATGAAAATATTATTTGAATTGGATAATCGCATTAATGTTCACACTGTTAAAAATGATTTTGTGTGTATGTTCACATTGTGATATATGAATTATGAATATTCATAGTGAATATTTGTGTGGACATTCCCAATATATAATTTGTGAATGACCTTTACAATGTGGGTATTGTAATAGGTTTGCAATAAGAAATCGACTTCCAATAATTGTGGCATGAATATTTACATTGTGAATTTGAAAAATTTGTAATATGTGAAATTGATAATGACAAGTTTCATATGATTTGGATAGTTGGGGCACTATTGAGCATTCATACTGTGAAATTTAATTTTTTACTTTACATAATTACATATTCAAGTGAGATCTTATTTGATAGATCTCGTTTTTCAAAATAAATATGTACAAAAAAAATTATGAATTTTTAAAGTTTAATATACAAAAAGTTAAAAAAAAAGAAAAAAAGAAGTCCAAATTAGAACACACCATAAACACTTATCAGGTTACTAAGGGTTACAAAATATCTGTGAGGGTAAAATTGTCCATAAAAGACTTCAACTATAGGAATTAGGCAGCTTCTATTTGCACACATCCATTACACTCTAACACATCTTTTTCAACAAATAATTGGTTCGGAAGTAGCATTCCGAAAATAAACAATTGGTTCGGAAGTAGCATTCTGAAAATAAACAACTTGTTTGGAAGTAGAATTCTGAATTTTTTTTCATTTTTTTGACATTCAACTTCCGAATGTATTTATTTGAATTGTGTATCATATCCATAATAATAATTTCACTTGGAAATAAAATTATAATAAAAATAATTATCATTAAGTGTGTGCAAAGAGGGGAATGATGACGTGCAAATAGAAGCTCCCTAGGAATTAGGATTTGGTGGATTAAATTGCAAAATAATAAGATTTCTTGGAATATAAGAATATGTTGTGGACTAATTGGGAAAATATATGAAAATGGATTTTTCACTAAATATTCCTTATTATTTATTATTATTAAATTCTAACATGGTGACCATGTACAATTGCAGGTGGGATTATTTCTGACCAACACACCATTCATACGTAATCAAATCAGCGCACAGGCGATACACAAAACACTGAATTATATAGCTGACTTTGGTATGGTTTGCCATATGTTTGTGTTAGGCTTGGAAATTGATCATAACATATTCATTCAACCACCAACTGGGGAGACTAAAGTGGCTTGTGTAGGCATGCTCTCCACATTTGTCTTAGCACTTGTGGTGACTCCCTTTCTGCATGTTCCTGATGTTTTCAGTACCAAATTCATCCTCTCCCTTTCTGTGATTCTCTCTGGTACTGCCTCTCCTCTATTGACCAGGTTGATTACTGACCTCAAAATTGGCAAATCAGACATAGGACGGTTTGTGGTTTCAACAGGAGTACAATCAGACCTTGTTTCCACTATCCTCCTTGTTGTGGGATTCCTTATTTTTGATCCTATGAAAAGCTATGAAGTACGCAATTCACGCGATATCCTTCGTATGATCTCAACACTGGTGATTGAAATGGTATTAGCTGCCAAGCTATCACCTCTAATCATGAATTGGGTTAATAATGAAAACCCAGAAGGGAAACCTATGAAAGGCTCTCACCTAATCCTATCTGTTGCATATGTTGTCTTGGTATGTGGTTGCTCACCCACTATAGCTGGGTATAACTCAATATTAAGTGCATTCTTGGCTGGGCTTTTGATGCCAAGGGAAGGGAGGATATCAAAGATGATGATTAGCAAAGTTAACTACTTCTTAACCACAATCTTCTATCCACTTTTTTTCTTTTGGGTGGGAGTTGAGGCTGATCTAACCAAATTCCATGGTGATCGAATAGGTCCATGGGCAAAGTTATTATTCCTTTTTTTGATTGCAACAGTTGGAAAGGTTGTCGGAACTGTTGTCTCTGGGGTAATGTTAGGGTTTCATTGGCCGGAATCCGTTGCAATCGGGTTGCTTCTCAATATCAAGGGCCATTTTCACGCCTACTTGGCTATCATTGCTACAAAAGTTAGTAAGCCTACCTCTGTCCTTCTCTTGACTCTAACTACTTCTCTTACTAATTTATTGTTAAGTCATGGCTATTTCCTTCTACTTGACTCATAAGAATAGCCAACCTAGAAAAATTGAAAGAGCTTGAGTAATTTAGATACATAACAATATATGAACAAAACTTCCATGAGATTATGATATTTTGACATTAAAACTTCTCTACCACAGAATTCTTAATGAAAATTTTGTTTGTGTAACCATTTTCTTTTCAAATTAATTTAGCATTGCAATACAAAATACTTCAACAATACCTTAGTAGATCGGCAGAAAATTTATGGAACAATAGTCATTGATGATATCATACCAATCTAACTAAAGTTTTTTTGTTTTTGTTTTTGCTTCCTACTGTCAAATTTAAGAATAAAATCACTTCCATTTCTACCAGCATTGCAATGTTATTTGCAACCTTTTTGACCATCATCTACACCCCGCTTGTTGTTGCAAACATCATTGAACGTGCAAGGAAACGCTCACCAACTCAAAAAATGGCAGTCCAGTGGTTGGACCCTGCAAATGATCTTCGTATTTTGCTATGCCTTCATGGGCCTCAAAACGTCCCAGCTTCCATCAACTTCATGGAGATTTCTCGAGGGACAGTTGACCCTGGTATCATGGTTTATGTAACAGACATGATCGAACTAACAGATCAAATAGCTGCCACACTAGCACATGGTGAGGGAATGGATGCTGTGACTGTGACAGACCAGGGAGTGACAGACATGAGGGAACAAATTACCAAAGCTGTCCAAGCTTATGTTGATGAGAATGGTGAAGGCATCAACCTTAAGCGAATGCTTGCCCTTGCAACAATAAATAACATGCATCAGGATATCTGCATTCTAGCAGAGGACTTGTTGGTTTCCCTCATCATATTGCCATTCCACAAGGATCATCAAGCAGATGGGAGACTCAATGTTGGCCATTCTGGGTTTCGACATGTGAATCGTAAGGTAGGTAAACATATAATCTTGAAGAAATGTAGAACATCAGTCTTATATATATAGATATATATATTCAGTCAAGTAAATATAAGAAATGATCTATTTTCCAAGCCAAGGTGGCTTAGACAGAGCTTGGCATGGCCCGGCTTCGAGGGAGCCCTAAGTAGTAGCTTAGGGCCGGCTTAATGGGTGCTCATTTGTTCATTTTGATGATGGTCATATTCTATAAATATGATTCAACCATATATGCATGTATTTCTGATTATGTGTAATGTCAGTTTTATAAACATAGATAGATGCTTATGACCTCTGTCTTTATCCCTGACATAGCATTAGGATATTTTCCGATAGATAGATGCTTATGACCTCTGTCTCTATACCCTTACTTAGCATTAGGATATTTGACAATGCTCAACTGACATATGGCATTTGTATGTGAATATGTACTAGAAACCCCTCCACGAAATACTTAAATACACTGACTATTTTCTGATAAAGTCATAATAGAAGAATTCATTGAAAGAAAGAAAAAAAATATTTATGCTTATACATATCAAGATATCTACCAGCTTTTAACTTCCTAAATCTCAAGTCCATCTTACAAATTCTAAAAAGGACCATATGGTCCACTTGTAGTGAATCAAAAATATTTGTGATAATATAATTATATGCAGAAAATATTAAGTTTCCTAATTATAAGGCTGACAATAACTTGAGCATTGAACATTTTAGATGTAAATTGAAAGTAACATTTAAATGAAAAGCATGGAAATTTCAAGCACACCCATGTGGGTGTGCTGAACCTCTAGTTAGGGTGTAAGAAAAACGGATGACACCGAACCAACCAATCGAAACCAACCTAAAAGGTTTGCTTTTCATAATATACGGTCTGTTTCGCTTTTAAAAAAAATTGTACCAAAAATTGGAGAATGTTGTCCCAACTTGTGAAACTTATCATTAGATAATTTAAATTTTTTATTTTATAAAATATTTTATATATAATAATAAAAAAATTAGATCAATTCAAAAGTTGTAATTTTTTTAATTTATCCGCTTAACTCTTTTAGCGGCCTAAGACAAAATTTTAAAATGAGACATTTTGTTATTTAAATGTCAATTATAATTTTTCATATTTTATTTTCATTTAAAATTAATTTTTCTTGCTCTTTGCAATGAAAAATTACTAATTATACTTTTGTAATGAATTTTTTTTTAATGTGTTTTATTCAGTTTATAAATTAGTTACTCCACTTAATTATTTAAGTGTGATTTTATTAATTTTAATTTTGAAAAAATCTTTTTTCAAAAGCAACTAATGCAGGTGTTGTTAATTTTTTTTTGTAATAGTTAACTGATTGGTGGAAAAAATGAGAGAGAGCGGGAGAGCAAGCAACTTGCGATCGCTCAACGGTAAAGGAGGATGGATCCCTGTGGTGAAGCAACGGCGAAGAGGTGGAGCATGGGGTAAGGAAGTTAGACGCGGCCTCCACACAATATTCGTGGACAACCTCCCTCGTTCCATGGATGCTAAATCCCTGTTCAAGCTGTTCTCCAAGTTCGGCATTGTGAGCGTTGTTTTCATCCCTTTCAAAAGGAGGAGAGTGTCAAACTCCCGATTTGGTTTTGTGAGATTTGGCTGTCCTGTTGCATCAGACGTTGCTATTCAGAAAGCAAATGGCCTCTTGGTGGACGATAAGGTGCTAGCAGTCAATATGGCTTCTTACGATAGGAATAACAGAGTTGTACAAAGCCAGAGGCGGGTTCAGAACAACAGAGGTGCTATCGAAACAACCACAACGAAGGGTCAAACGCCATTCGTTGGCTCTAGAACATACGCAGAGGTACTAAAAGGCGGAAAACTCAATGGGGAAGCTTGTACGACCATCAAAGCAAACGAAGATGGCCACGGATGGCTATACGACAGTGTTATAATCAGACTAAAACTGGAATACACTATAAATAGTATCAGAGAGGCCCTCGAGGAGAAGGGGATATCGCAGGTCGTGGTTAGAAAGGGAGGTGGTCGCGATGTAGTTGTAACCTTTAATTCCCAAGAGGAGATGCAATCTAACGTCCACAATTTGAAAGTATGGTTCAAAGACTGGAGCAATTTTGTTCTAGAATGGCAGCCAGGTCTTCAAATCCAGCAGGAGAGATGCGTGTGGTTAAGCTGTTTTGGCATACCCCTTAACCTCTGGAATAGAAGCACACTAAACAACATTGGCAGTTTGTGGGGGTCAGTTCTTAGCTTAGAGGGTGATGTTAATCAAACTAAGTCCTTCTCCTCTACCAGGATTAAAGTGGTGACATCCTGCATGGGGTTCATCTCTTCAACAATCAATCTGGAGTGTAAGGGCTCACTCCATCCCATCCTTGTGTATGAGGATCACCTGGTTAACACGGTTGAGTCCCCTACCAGCTCACACACTGAGCATGATGATTGCATCTCCATTGTAGGAGTGGGGCCAATTAATTTTCCGCAGAAGTCCGGCGAGGAGAAGGCGGATGACGTTGCAATGGCACATGGTGATCGGAGGCTCACACAGTGCAATAGTGGTGAGCAGGACGATACAGTGGTTGAGGAGACCGGCTATGCTCAGCAGCTAGGTGAGAACGTAGCTGGTATGGTGGCTCCTGGTCCCAATGAGGTTGAGGAGACGTTGAGTGAGGGGAAGCTCTGCAGTGCTAGTGCAGTAGGTGTGAAGGGGGCAATGATGGGGGAGCTATCACCCCTGGCAGACCCACCGAGGAGTGCTGTGGAAGTTACGCCTCCTCACTCCAACAAAAGCTCCAGTGGGCCGATGGATGAATTTGGGCCGGGTATCTCCCTTGAGGTGGATCTAGCCCATCCACATGGGTTGCAAAAAGTCCAAAGCCTAACTCTTATCAAGTCACCTGAATTCCCAGTCACTAAGTCTATTATTTGTCATGCTCCAGTCCCAGGCCCACATGTTATTGCTGGCCCATCTTCTTTGGGCACTTTGGGTCTCAAGGATCAAAGCCTCGATAGCTCATCCTCACTCACTACTAATCCCCTTCGGAAGGCAAAACATACTGGGAAGAAGAAGGCTAATGTGGAGGGCTTCTCCCGCTTTGCAAGGCTTTATGGCCAGACAACTGCAACCGCTGTTAAGCACTCGTCCAGGTCTGTCATCCTCAGACCTGCTGCTGCTGCCCTTGCTCAATCAGATCTGTCCGAAGGAAATTCCAGCACAAGTAGCTTCCTCCTCAAAGAAGCTAAAGCAACCATCAAGTTGGGAGAGCAGCTGGGAATTAATTTTAAGGGTAAAGAAGTTGCTGTGATGGACAAGATTATTGATCTTGAACTCAATGACAAAGTGAGAATTAATGAAGTGGGCTCGGCAAAGCCGTGATTGCTGTGTTCGGGGGCCTCACAGTGCATCATCTGGTCTTTATGAAGCTTCTCTCCTGGAATGTCAAAGGTTTAGGTATGCCTGAAAAGAGGGGTAGAATCAAACGTCTCTTAAGAGATAGGCATATTGATGTTGATTTTCTTCAAGAAACCAAGAAAGTAATAGATACAGAGTTTGCTGCTCGTGGGCTTTGGGGTAGTAGGAAAATGGAGTTTATGTCAGTAGACCCTATTGGTACTGCAGGTGGGCTCCTCTGCATCTGGGATCCGGATGTTTTCCAACTAGTTGGGAGCTGCTGCAACAGGAGGTTTATACTCCTCTCAGGTACGCTCTACAGCTCTTTTGATTGTGTCCTCCTAAATGTATATGCCCCTAATGATGTTAGTAGTCGGTCCACTCTTTGGAATTCAATCCTTAAGCTCAAGGAATCCTTCCCTCGGCCTTGGTGCTTGGCTGGTGATCTTAATGAAATTAGGCACATGGGGGACCGAGTTGGCTGTGTCAGAAGAGATAGGGGGATGCGCCATCTTAATGAATTTATAGACAAATGCGAATTGAATGATCTGCCCCTCCTTGGTCGGTCCTACACTTGGTGTAACTCTCAGGAGGCCCAGAAATGGAGTAGAATTGACAGGATAATGCTCAGCCCAGAATGGTTGGTTCACTTCAAAATGAAACTCTGGGGCCTGCCTAGGTTAATATCAGATCACTGCCCTCTATTGATGATGGAAGATGAAAGAGATTGGGGCCCTAAGCCCTTCAGGTTCATTAATGCTTGGACCCTGCACCCCAATTTCTCTCACTTTTTCACTTCCTGCTGGGAGAATTCCACTGCCTCTGGTTGGGCAGGCTTCATAATCCAGCAAAAATTCAAGCATCTCAAGATGAAGTTAAAGGTTTGGAATACTGAAGTGTTTGGAAATATTACCACTAAGCTCAAGGAAACAGAGGAGGAATTGCATGCCTTTGACAGATTAGCAGAGGAAAGAGTACTGCTCCAATCAGAAATGGATCGAAGAAGAGTAGTGAGATGTGAAGTGTGGAAACTCTACAGGAAGGTGGAGTGGCTATGGCATCAACAATCCCGAATGAATTGGTCCTTGCAGGGGGACAAAAATACTAGGTTCTTCCATGCTGTTGCAAGTACCAGACACAATAGGAACATGATAAATTCTATCTCAATTAATGGTGTGTCTCTCGAGGAGCCAAGCAGAGTTAAACACGAGGTGTTCCTTCATTTTAAGAAACATTTCAAGGAAGGGTGGGCTAAGAGGCCCGTATTGGGAGGGGATTTCAGTTTAATTGAGGACACAATTTCCTATCATCTTGTATCAGCCTTCACTGAAGCAGAGGTATGGGCCGCCATTAAAGAGAGCGATAGCAACAAGGCTCCCGGACCAGATGGGTTTAATTTTCTAGGCTATCAGAAGTTTTGGGGCATAATGAAAAAAGTGATTATGCAATTCTTCCAAGATTTTCACAACCACAGCAGACTTACCTACGGCATCAACAGTTCGTTCATTACTCTCATCCCCAAGACTCCTAATCCCACTAATCTGTCAGATTACAGACCCATTAGCCTGGTGGGTTCTTTATACAAGATTTTAGCAAAGGTCCTCTCGCACAGATTGAAGT